AGAGCAAAATGTTGATAATGACAGGTCTAAAAGTTACGTGTAAATCTGTCATGTTTAACTGCTGGAACGTATTCTTGTTTGCAGCAAAAACTTGACTTTGACGTCTTGTACTACCACACCCATGCAGCAATGTGACCCCTGCATGGCCCTGCCTTTTGGCCTCTCCGCCTCACCAATAAGAAGCCTGGGCACTGCGGCACTGTCCTACTAAACCAGCTCGACGGCGCGGCTGATGACCGGCTGAGGCTGAGGGGGGCGGGCGCTGCGGAGAGGAGGGAGGGGACGGCGGCGGCGGCTGCTGACATTCCACTACAAGGCTGCAGCATGAGGATCCACGTGCCCCGGCTCTTTTACTACAGCAGCAAAAAAAACAAAAAAAATACAGAATAGCCCCTCCCTTTCTTCCCCTGCATGGCCCACCCCTCTCCTCCCCTCTCATCACGTGGGCACAGCCGTGTAGAGCCCGAGGTGTGGAGGGGGGGGATGGGCCGCGTCTATCGCTGTAGCCGTAGTCTGCACAATATGGGTCTTTGGGTTCAATCTCGCAGCTCTTATTAACTCTTATAGCTGTAAAAATAAAAATAAAAAGGTGAAGGCTTTTTGTTTGTGTGTAGGTGGTCACACTGCAGCGAAAGGGGGGGCAGATTTAAACTTGACCTACATTTCCCGGGTGACACGCCACATCGCATTAGCCCACCCGACCGGGTGGCCGAACCCGGTGGAGATCGCAGACGCTGCCCCACTTTGACAGGCAAAGGGGGGGTGCTCTTCCCCAGTGTGGGTGTGACCCCTAATACTGCTACATCTGCACAGCTGACTCAAATAGCTTAAGGACATACAAGAGTGTGTGTATGTGTGTGTGTGTGTGTGTTTGTGTGTGTTTGTGGGGGGGTGGGTTGTATCTGTCATGCGGTTGCGGGGTGCACGTTGTGGCCACGCCTCTATCGCTGGGTAAACATCCAAGTTACCCTGAAAGCACAAACCTTCACAAAATCTCACTGACATTTGATATGAAATATATATATAGTAGTCTTGCACAGTTACTCCAATATGGTTTCACTGCAAATGATAAATAAACTGGATCTTGAATCTATATTGTGGATTGTCTATTGCGTGGATCAGAGCTGGGATGAAAGTGGGTGCGTCTCTGCCACGGATGAACCCTTCTCTTTTGGACGGAACCTGATCAAAGTTGGGGAAACCATGGCAACAGGCGCATACACAAGAGTCAGCTAAAACGCGGGCTTTCATTGAACTAAAGAGCCGGTCACGGAGCCGCCGAGAGAGCTGCACATAAACACTGACTGCGCAGATCAATTGGGATTTCAAAGAGTCCGATGTGAGAGTGTGGGCAAATCATATTAGTGATTTAGATCAGCACAGCGTTCCATTAGTAAAGTGCTTAAAACACAATTAATTAGCCTTCTGTACAGGATGTTCTACCTTTGCAGAAGCAGGAGCAAAGCCACTCAAACGTCATGCAGAAGTACTTTAAAAAAACGGTATTAATACTGGAAAAAATAGGTCTGAACTTTAGTGTCATTATTAATGAGGTAGACAGAAGTAAGTCTCAGAAATGAATCCATCAAAAGTCTGATAATATAAACATAAACTAAAGATCTGGCAAACTAAAAAAGATTTGGTACAAAATGGATGAATATTTTAGTATTTACTTTGATATTCAAGCCAGACCAAACTAATGTTTAAACATGTGAACAAGTAACTTGTTTTATTTGATGATGAATCACAAAATATTTTAGTGATTTGTGTCAAATTTAAGTTTTGTGAGCACCGTTTGGTTCAGATGCTAAATATTTGAGCAGATGCCACGCCCCCTTTTTAGTGGACTAAAATCTATTCAATCAGTCGTTTGGTGGAGCAAGAATGTCTACAGAATGTCTTCTACAGCGCTCTAGAAAAGACAGATGAAGTGAATTGTCGAAGGAAACTAGTAAACTCGAGCATAAACTGCAGCGTAATCTTCCTTAAAAGACTAAAAATCAGTTATGACAACACACAACAGCATTTTTGTCAATATTGCCTCCTCATTTTGTACATGATATTATATAAGATGGGCCCAGTGTGTGACTTTGGCCCACTTGGAGCACTTTGAATGGAGTGGCCGTGCCCTGCCCTCGAGGGTCCTCTGCAGTCGTCCCGGGACATGTTAGAAAGTCATTAAGAAGGATGTGTTGACTCTCTTCCGTCAGCCGGAGCGGCACACCTCCCCCGGGACGTGGGCCTCCAAACCCATTTATACTGCACCTAAAACAGCCCTGGACCACGATTACTCCACTGACCTTCTGACCGACACTCCCACCTTGCAGCCATTTGGTAAATAACACAGACCTGATTATTAAGATTTGAAATTCATGAAGGCCAGTAATCACAAACTGGCTTTTCCTGCACCAATTTCATTTTTTTCTTGGCAAGATTTAGCAAAACATCATTTTGGGTGGGGCACAGCGGAGATTTAGGAAGGATGAGTGTCACATTGAGAGTAGTGGCATGTCTACAGTCTTCTGTGAGGCATGAGCACCACCTGCAGGATGCGAGGAGAAGTGCATTTAATAAAGACCACTCCCAAACTTCAGCCCTTCTAATGACAGACTGGTGTTCAGCTACAGGGCAGGCTGTTGTGGACACACAGCATGGGGCATAAATAGTAGGGCTTCCAGACACTGGAGCACACTCAGTAAACTTCACTAACAATATTTTAGCTTTCACCACTCAAGCAAAAATGTATATTGTATATAAATAAGAAAATGCTTGTCTCATGTACAATACAAACAAATGAAGGCAGAGGAGCTTAAAGTGTTCTTCTTGAGCCAAAAATCATGTTATTAATTTGAGAGTAATCTTGGCTTTAAAATGATAACAATATGGCAGTTTGATTATGAAATGTGCATTCAATAACCAAAGTGGCCAGCGGTCACTCCTAAATGAAACATGTGTAATGACAGAGATAAGGTGTGGCTTGAGGGCTGGGTCATGGGTAACCACAGGGAAGACAATATTATAGGGGGAAAAAAAGCGAAACAAATAGGGAAATACATTGTAAGCTTAATTTTACTGATAAAGATTGATAAATTAATATAATAACTAAAAGATCCATGTAACATTCATTCATTTTGAAAAGTAAATTTGTAAAGCTTCTTTTATAAATCAGATAGCACCACCCAGTGTCCACATACAGCCATTGCAAGGTTATCCAGGTGGCTGAATAAATTGGATTTTAAAAATATATATTTTTTCATCTACAGAATAGACAGAGGCACATGTCCTGTGGTGAAGACGTGTTCTCAGGAGCACTGCCCAGGATGTTCCACAGAGTCAAGCAGTCCGCCCCATAAATAATGCATCAGGGAGAAGAGAAGAGCGCTTAGGCGGCAAAACAAACCACTGAAACTTATTAGCTCCGGTTTCCCTTTTGTGGCTGGGTTTGAGTTTTCCATATGCTCCGGCGAAACAGTGCCATTTGACACTGTAGAGGAAATTACCTACATGTTATAGGTGGATCGGATACAATGAGACAATATTTAAAAGCTAATATGGACCATAAGAAGTAGTTCTCACTTTGTCCAGCAGAGGGTGTTGTTGACCCAGTTTTTCATAGCAAAAGGCAGACATAGAAAAGCTTATATTTGGACTATATTTAAAAAATGTTTCATCACAACAGTTTTGGACTTTTTCTTGTATTCCAGGGCAAAAACAAAAACAAACTCCATAAAGGCAAATAATTTACTACAAAAGATTCCACTTTACACTATCTAATATCTGCAGCTATGACTTCGGCCAGTCACATGAGAGCAGTGTGTCAGCGTCATAGTAACTATCGCTAAGGTGACGAGGATGAAGCGAGGGAAGGATGCAGAAAAGGCCCGAGCTCAGAGGATAACATCACCTAAAGCACAACGTACTCTCGAATAAAGACTAGTGCAGCCTTGGGAACAGGAAGAAACTACATTACTCAACCCTCTCGGTGTCCCACAATGCACTTCATTTCCTGCTCGCATACACCCAGAGCACAATGCATCAAGACCATAATAGGTATACGTGCACTGCAGCCGAGAGACGAGATGTGCCCACCAGGGAGGAAACCAGTGCAGCGGTAGTTTATTGACAGAACATGACACAATTAATACATGTTCTGCTTTGCTAACAAGGCTGCTGACCTTTTATTGTCCTTCACCAAAGCACAGCGCAGTAACTCAAAAAACACTCAATCAATTGAATTTCATCCTTCCCAAAGGCGAAAGTTTCTCACAATGACCCGAAAAACCACAGAAAGACATTCGTGGAAATACATTCATCCAAAACTAATTGTGGAATTGGATTTGTCAAACAATGAACACAGAACAGAGCTCTTACGTTAAGCTCAGAGTTGTGCAATAATAAGGTCGCAGGGGGTGCTAAACGTTTTAGTAAGAGGGGCAGATTAGTTCAACAGACTGGTCCAGGGCCCGACAACACTAGAATCAGCCTATTTTGAGGTAAACAGAGGTATGGATAGATACACATTAGTGAGAGCTGGAGTTGTTTACTTTCTCATCAGCGCCATAGACTGAATTTCTGTGATGAAAAACAGACATACAAACAAATAGATTCAAAATGTTCTGAGCTTTACGAGGTATGGCAGGCCTACATTGGCAGCACTGAAGTTGGCTGGATGACACTTTGAACTTGTGCATTTCTTAATCTCAATGGTACTTTGGGTTTGCAAGACAGAGGGCCACGTAAACTGACACAACAGACCGCAATTGGCTCTTGGGCCTTAGTTTGGAGATGCCTGCTCTAAAAGGACATTTTCTGTGGCTGATTGTTGTTTGAATTAAAAAAAAAAGTCTTTGTAAACACATTTCATTCTGCAGTTATCGAAGCCATAAAACTGTGTCTGCACGTTTCAGTCCATGTCATTTCAAAAGAAAGAATAATGGATTAGTAGATTAAGTGGTGAATACTTCAGGGGATGATTTGTTGAAATGAAACTCAGGACTTACGGGCAGAGAAGCCGTGCGTCTGTCGGACAGGAGCAGCCTGGAGTGGCCTGGGCTGGAGCTGGCCCCGGTCACAGTCCCCAGCAGAGGTCAGCCCCTGCAACACACACACAGACACACACAGACACACACACCAACATAATTTAACAAAGGATTTACTGGTGAATCCAAAACTGCTAAGGAAAAGTATTGTTTTTATGAACTCTAAAATATGCATCTACAGTAGTTGATTCAGAAATTTAAATCAGATTTTCAAAACAGTTGGTAGAGCATTGGCCTTAAGGCCAGAAGGTCGTGGGTTCAATTCCCACCTCTACACCTTCTCCACCGACTCCCACTGATGACTGCTGTCGTTGTGTCCTTGGGCAAGACACTTAACCCCACTTTGCCCAAAAGCCCCCACTGAAAGATCAAGGCTATGCTCACACTCAGAGAGCAGCCGTCCTCCTGTGGACTCACCACCTGCAGAGGGTCAGTGAGGGGCTGGTGCTATGAGACTTGGGTGGCATCTCTGACTGCCACCCCCCTGACCCAGAAATGGATTAAAGGGTAGAAAATGGATGGATGGATTTTAAAAACATTCATAGGAGACTGAAATATTTGCTTTTTACTGAGGCAGATCTTTTTCCCTGAAGTCATTGCAAAACTTGAAGGAAAAATGACCCAATAAAGATAACATGATAAAAGGCCAGGACTGGACCCAAATTGGTGTGCAATATTGATTTCACACAAACATTTCACAGCGTGGGACATAAATAAGTAAATGCCAGAGCGTGGGGAAAGCTTCATTCTGATTCTGGAGTTGTATTGAGGCTTAAATAAAAGTTGTAACATGAAGGCGGCATTACAAACACACCAGTTCCTATTGTGCCAGACTTCCTCTGATTCAGTTCAGCTTTTCGGCTTCCTCCAATCCCACCTCACATTCACCTCACGTTTGGAAACACGGCCAAAAGCTCTTCTTTATACTGCTAAAAGACTTTGTGAAGTGATCTATAAAAGGCCAGTTCAAAAGCTGACCATAGAAGATATCAGAGGGATTTCTTCTTCTCTCACCGGCAACAGACAAGTTTGGTGTCGGACAAGTACGAGTTTGATCAGCATTCTTAACGATTGTGAAATCCTTGAGATTTTGTGGAAAAAGTCATTTGAAGACAACTTTGAATTTGGGAGAAATGTGTTAGTGGGTTGTTAAGGCAAAACATCTAATTCAATATTTATGACCAATGTCCACACAATGTTTCCGTTTTACTCAAAGAAAGTTCCATTTGCAGAAGTGAACATATGAGGATCAGACCAAACACATTTACAGTTTATAGAAAAGATGAAAAACAGAAGTTTGATCTGAAAGAAAATCATGCTTCTGCCATGGGCTAAATATCAGATGTGGAAGAGCGAGTGTGACGTCACCATTGTGTTAGCCTAAGTGCAAACAATTTGAATATAAGATAGCAGGAGCCAATTTCTTTTTATGGGTATGACTTCCACGGCATTAGCACTGTGCCCTAACAGGGGGAGTTTCCCTGCAAAAGGAGGAATCCGATTGGTCAATCCTTATAGGGCTCATAACTGGATTTACAAAGAAAATAGCAAAGTAAAAACACCAGGATAACAGAGGGAGCTAATTTTAACCCCACATTTTATAAGATCAAATTTAAGAGTGTGAAACAAATGATTGCTGAGCTAAGAGTATATTTTACAATGTCAAGTCGATAGAAGCAAAACCTCATGTATGAGCACTTCCCTGATAGGCTTCATTGAGCTAGTGGATTAGAATTGTCCAACTATATACTGTCTATGGCTTCTGCCCGACAACAAGACCAAAGATACATGTTCTATAGACAAATCTTTAAAACATACTCAATCAAGAGACATTTTTGCTCATCATATGCAGTCTTTGGCATTGTAACCACAGAATTTGCCATTATATTGTGATTAATCCTGTAGAGCTACAGCGGAGTCCCAGTCCTGGTCCAGAACCCGTGATTGCCTTCTGTATTCCTGGCCCTCTGTGGTGGTGGAGTCCGAGAGGGGCCCTGGGTGCGCTGGATGATTCAGTAGCGTGGCTTCTTCTCAGAGTGAACGCTGTGGCTAATTGGATGAGGCTGACAGGTCACAGGAGACGGGGCCCACTGGGTGACATCTGCGGAGCATCACTACAGCTGGGGGCCAAAACACGGGGCCAAATGAGCTCATGAATACTGCAGCTGCACGAGGAGAGCTCACTGTGTACAGCCTCTGAGTCTGAATCACTCATTTCTGCCGTTTGTGTCAAATCCAGAAAGTACAGGCCAACATCAGACTACTGTATCAACGGTTTTGTCACAGATGAACTCAAAAGGTTTCTTAAGAAGTCGGAAAATGTTTGCTTGAGTTCATGGTGGAGATTACAGATAATGAAAAAGTGACGGACATTGGTATAATATTTGGACTTCAGTCATTAGTTGTAATATATAATTTATAACTAAAACTGGTAAAAAGGGTGCTACTCAAATTTCTATAGGATTCCCGTCATATGTAACTAATATGATGTGCATGATTACAATGTTTATTCCTATTCCTTCTAACACAGACATAAATATAGAATAATACATTATCATTGGCAATGTCGGTATGGACTTCAGAGCAATATCTGGATTGACTCAAAAAGACACTAAAGCTTTTCAACATCAATCAATAGAATATTTCAGCCATATAGTTATTGTCCACCTGACACCTGCATTACTATAGGGTTTAAAGATTACATTACTTCTGTTATTTGTTTGACATCAGCACTTTGAAGAGGATTCATTATGACAAATATGTACAAAGTATTGCACAAAAACATTTTAAATTAAAATGGGTTAAATTACAGTTTACCGTTTGTCACAATAGAAAAGAAATGAGTTAAATAGCGTTGAATGTTTTATTTTTTTCCCCTGGCTCGCTTCAAGGTTCTCACGTCAAGAAAACAGCTCAAATAATTCAACAATAACATATCAGAACATATTGTGGTCTAAACCAGCCCAAAACAACTCCTTCTGTTTAGGAGCTGAGTTTAAACAATGAAAGCTGGGGGGGTCACACTTTTTTTTGTTTAAATCAACAAAGTGGGAACACAAAAAGGCCTCATGTGTTTTTAGGTGAAAGCTCAAACAGTCTCTGGCACAAAACATGGATAGGACAACTAATAGTAATTTCATTATTTTTATTTAACATTGAAGCCAAAATGTAACGATAGGGAGACTTCTTACCATCAATGCTTTTATAAGTTCATTTGGAATCATTAACTTGTTGGTCTCGCTTTGAGCCACTTTGAGTAGAGTCTGAAAAAGTCGCCTAAGGGCCTCGTTTTACAGCTTTTGACAATTACCGCCACAAAATGTGATTTTGATTTGATTTTGTTTAATCTCGTCATGGACCCAGCATTCTCCAACACACAAACTCAAACAGGACTTTGAAATGACTCGCGGTGAGCGAAGGCGACTCATTCTCAAACTGCTGCTGAGCTTCTGTTTCTCTGTGCGGGTCTTTCTCTGTGCGGGTCTTTCTCTGTGCGGGTCTTTCTCTGTGCGGGTCTTTCTCTGTGCGGGTCTTTCTCTGTGCGGGTCTTTCTCTGTGCGGGTCTTTCTCTGTGCGGGTCTTCGTGTTGAGCCACATGACGTCATACAGACATCAACAGCTTTGCAACTTTGTTAACCTCACATGATCAGGGGGTAATAAAACACCACTTAAAAGCATGACTTTCTCTGCAACGACATCTGAGGTCACTTCCTGTCGAGTCACGGCTGTGAGGTCATGTCGACTAGACAAAGGAACAACCTGGTAATGAAAGGAAATATTAGTCCTCCAAGACTACATTAAATGTGTGTGTCATAGAGGGTGGAGGGAGTGGTCTAACCAGACAGCTCCTGATTGGTCCGTTTTTAGGAATCATATCTGGATCGAAAATAAAAAAACTAAACCCAGGACATTGTTATACCACACATACTCAAAATGGTGAGGGTGACACAAATGGTTTCACTTTTCAATGGAAGTCAAAGAGTTGGAGCGAAACTTCACCCATGAGCACTTTTAGGCTTCATATAGTCAACATTGCTCATTCAAATACAGTTCACTTTATGATGTATTATTTGTAATAATATTTGTAACCCAGTGATGTCACATCACTGTTTATGGTCTTTGGATGAAGATGTTTTGCATGTGTGCGTGCACAATGCACATCCACAAACCTGACGATAGGAACAAAGTTACTACGAGAATAACAAATGTACGGCCTCAGGGTCTCTGTCCCATATGTCAGAAGAACAGTGTTTTTACTGTTTCTCTGCTCAATATCTGCTACTCAGTCATTGTTCTTAGGTGGCTCAAAGTATCCAATATTCAGAAGATGTTATTAAAACAGATTAATGCAAAAACAATAAAATCATAATTATTTTCAGTAATTAGAGACAACAAACCTGCAGAGAAAGCATACACAGAATATTGTTATATTGTATATAACAATATAATATATTGTTCAATTATTATTATTTGTTGTGTTTTTTTACCATTTCAAAATTATTATATATATTACTATATTTACACAACGCTGATACAACAATAAATACAACAGAAATGTATTAATATCCAAGTTGCAGTTGTGTGAGATTCATTTAAAACCATACAGTCTAAATTCACTAAATTAAAACAGCAGGAGCCTGGGACTCCTCACCTCTGTCTCTGTCAAGAGTGTCAAGACATTAAGAAGATTGTAAATAATTATGTGTAGTATTTATTGTGTCTCTTTATTAATGCTAAATAGCCAGTAGCTATGTCCAGTCTGTACAATGCATTGTCCTTGTCAACTAAATAAACAATCAAAAATGTTGTTTGTAAGATCAGATCAGCGGACAGAGGTAGAGGAGGCCTGGGTGTAGGATCCATCCTGCCCTTCCTACTTCCTGCTTTCCATGACAACCGTTTGGACATGATCAAAGAGTGAACATACGGTATTGAAAGGTCAAAGTCTGTGGCTCATATCAGCCCATGACCTACACTTACTGCACAGTTATTGTATTATTACACATCATCAGGAATCATCAGAGTAAAAGATTGTAAATGTATTGTACACGACTGTAAACACATTATTTGACACATCCTCATGCCTTCAATGCCCACTTCACTTTGAGCTTCTGACTCAAGCGCAACAATATATAAAACCAAATTATCTTTGCTCTCTTGGTTTCTAAAGGCTGATTTGACAAGGTGGTTTTGACACTAATCAAAGATGGAGGAATGCTCGGTGCGTGGGAAGTCTGCATGGCAACCGTTTCATGTAAAATGTGAAGTGTAACATGCCGACTCTCCATCTGTGACAACACCCTGATGCACTTAGTCCGGTGACATGTGGGCGGACACAGCACGGGCTCACGGTCACCGCTCCCACTGCAAAATCATACCACGAAACTGCACATGATGAAAAGCGTGTGGCCAGAGACGGGGAGAGAGATGGACTACGGTACTTACACACTGACTGTTTGAGGAAGTATTTCTCTCGGGCTGGGAAACTTTACAAAATTCAATGCAATGTATTTCTCTACAGCCCTAAAACCCAACAGCACAGCAGTCATCTCAGGACATTGCAAAGTTCCCCCAAAACAGATCAGAGAATCAAACTGTTCGAACACAGGAATGGTTCAAAGGGAGCTGGATGATCAATGTCCATACATGCTCTTAACTGTCTTTTTATGGGCACCAGTACTTTAACTGTAAGTCTATAGTTATATATCTAAACAGTCAATAGAGACACACAGGCTTTGGTGTTCCATAAATATAATCTGGATCAAAACATTTTGAAGCCAAATTGTGAATATTATATGCAATATTGGAGATACATATGAGGGATTCATAATCAGTCGATATTCCATATGATACGATACTAGTGGGGGGATTATATTATCACTGCAATTATTATCATAAGTGAAAATTGTGGGACGAATTGTGTTTTAACTGACGTTTATCCTGCGAGTACGAGAATAAGAACTTTGGATGAGCAACTAATGGTTAATATATCAGCCAGTAAATAAATTGTATTCTAAAAATCTAAATAAAGGCCTAATCTGGGTATTGACTGAATAGATATAAATCAAACAGATACCCCTCAAACTTAGAATAGAATGTCCAATATCAGATAGTACTGGTCCCTTCCCTTAAGCTGTGGGATGAATCTATTTTAGTCTGGTAAAAACAGTAAGCAACAGCAAACACCACTGTAATAGAATCTCTTGCACCTCTGCCAAGTCAATCCTCTGAAACACGACTGCAGTGAAGCTGGCCAGCGCACTGGAGTAACGAGCAGGCTAACAGCGAGTGGTGCCATGGACAGGCCACAGCTGACCAGGGGAGGAGTTGCCCTCTCTCTGCTTTTACCCTGTGACGTCCGACCTGAGCCTGGAGGGGTTTTTGGGATGTCTGAGTAAAAAGGTGTGGGGGTAGGGGCCCGCTCTGTCACACAGTTTTCCCTTTTCAGGAGCCAGTGTTATTTATAGCCCCGTGTGAGGTGTTTCTATGCAAACTCCATTTCTGTGTTTACTGTAAAGAGGCTGCGGCACAATGGGAGCATCCTCTCTTGGCTGCTTGGCCCCGAGTTAAGGATACTGCTCTGCTCTTAGCTCATTAAGTGCTGCTCAGGGCTCCAGATAAGCCCGACTTCATAGGATCCAAGCAGAGAGAGAGAAGGAGAGAGTGAGTTCGGATGAATGCTTCAATCTAGCACTTAACGACTCGTAACCAGGGCCGAAGGCTACGAAAACACCGGCGAGATGAGATATAAGAAACATCCCAAGCAGCAGAACAGGTTTAGTCTGCCCCAAAAATAACTTGAGCTGATTAGATAACTGCAAAAATGATAGTTATTATTGAAGAAAGAATGAAATAGAGTTCTGTGAGATGGCCAAACTCAAAGACTATTCACAGCTCTCACAACTGTCGTCATTTCCACTGAGATTTGTCATGGGCAAGAGCAGGCATGCTATAGTAGACTAGAGAATGGAAGGAGGGGACTGCGTTAGAGAACGTTTGCTATTCCAGCGGTCAATAAAAACAGCCAGAAAACTCTAAAACCATGCAACCGAAACGTAGCTATTGTTTTTCTCCTGTGAAGTCGACCAAAAACTGCTGAGCTCATAAGGCCGTGGTGCAAGATGCTGAACAGGACAAACTTGCCTAAAGAGGAAGTTCATACCAATGCACAAGCAGCATTAAAAGTATGCCATGGGGAGGAAATCAATAGTGTTCTGTCCTGCATAAACCATTCAATAGCACCTGGCCAGTTGCCTCTACCACATGATGCAGAAGCCTACTGTAAACTCACACACACAACTCAAACTTCTCCAAGAATGCTCCAAGGTCTAACTGCAAAACCTAATCTCCTGCACATGTCAAGGAAACAAACGCCCGTGGAAGAAATTGCGTTGTGATTACTTTGGAAATGCTGCGAATGCCTTGCGTGTCAGCAGGAGATGAGTGCGCCCCATAGTGAGAATAACTGGAGGACGTGAGGTCAGCAGATCACTGGGGTGTGTAAGGCAACCGCGGACCAAACAGGCATCTTTGCTTTCCCCTCCCGTGCATAGAGCAAAGATCGCTGAGGTAATAATGCACGTCAGGGAGCATTGTCCTCGGTTTACCCACGACTGGAAAACTATTAAAAGATTAAAAACAAATACTGTACATGCGCATGTGCAGTTGAGTTTCAGTGGTTGAAATTTGGTAGTGGTAGTCTGATGATATATCGTTGTGTATCCATCAATTATTGTTTTACTGGTTTACAACCTTCTCCGGAACTATAGTAAATCAGCACTCCTACCTGGTACAATGAATCACTTCTTTTGGCTAATTTTTATTAAACAGTCCCTGAAAAAGTAAAAATCATACCAACATACCAAACTAAATCAAGATTTTCCTGTATGAATCTATTGACTTCAGCTAGTACCCATACATGTGGCACTTAGAAACTGAGAAAATTATAATTAACATTACAATCAAGGGGCAATCAAGATGACGTTGCAGTCTCCTTCAAAGGCAGCATGCTCTCCTTATTATATAGTACGTGAGCAGCAAGCACTAAGAGATAAAACACTTTCGCGAGCCAGCTACTCAAGGGTACAAGACATGGCACAACAAGTCTGTGTCTGTCAGTGGTGTAGCAGTGGCAAAGCAGGTCGCCTCCTCTGAAGCAGTTTTATATGCTCTGTGACAATATACTGTATATGTTTAGTTTATTGGATGTCAACAGGCAGAGAAAAGCCATGTTGTATGACTCAATGGATATAGTAGTGAGAGTGAGTGTGTTTCGCCGGCTAAGTGACACTGCACATTTTCCTCCATACAGTTCAACCAAGGTATAGTCATTCAGATGTTATAACAAACAGTCAAACGCATACAATTACGCTGCCAGACAGGGCTTTCATCAATCTCGCATCACGGCCACAAATATTTACCCAGGAAAAAGCGTCTTTACTGGACGTTTCAATTCCACTTTTGAGCCCTGTGCTGAGACTGCTTTGAGAGGAAATAACACACATCCGTGCTGGCCTGACAGCTGAAGCAAACAGAAAACGAGAACAAAGTACCATTGGCAACTTTAAAATGAAAAGTTTACCAGACATGCATCAACAATCCAATTCAATTCCAGACAACACTGTTTGGCCTGGGCTGAGTTGAATGCCAAGGCTATAAGTAAGATTGATGTCCTATAACCTGTCATTTAAAGCTGATCATTTCTACTTTTGCACACTAACCTTAAAGCAATGTCCAGTTTTATATGACCCAATTGGAGGAGCATCGATTGTTCATCACATATGGGCACACAGAACTGAGCTGGAGGCTGGTGGGCTGTGCATTCCCTTTGATGGTGCTGCTGCTGCTGCTACTTTTGTTTTCCAATGCGAAGCCAGTCCGATCTGCGCACATAAATTAAACCCGGAGAGATTAACGCGCTGCATAGTGTCACATACAGGAGGAGACCAAGCTAATAACCGGGCATTAGAGAAATATGGGTCAGGCACGCTAGATTCAGTGCCTCTGGCTGAAAGAAGGGGGGAAATGTTGCCTCTTTGGAAAGGGGAAGTGGATGGCAAACCACATTAATGATATGTTATTAACGAGAGGATAAAACACAGGTATAACAGTGTAAAGGATGCGATGTGGGCTTGATTTAAAGAGGATCCATTCATGAAAAACCTTATTACTGCCTCCTGATTATCAGCACTACAGTGATATAAGTCAGGCTAACTAGCAAACAAGCTTCAAAACAGTCGGTATTGAGATGATTCGCTGTTGCAAATGGAAAAGGATGAATAGGTTTAAAGTCTTACCTCGACGCTCAGAGAGAAACACGGCTCTGGACTGACTACCACGCTAGAAGAGGCGAAACAGAAGAGAGGTTTGATGCCGCTGCTATTTCCGGGTTGGAATACAAGCGTCATCTGGTGAAGCGGTGAAGCAAAGTGGATGGTGCTTGTTTTGTGTCATCTGTAAGCATGAGAGGGGCGGGGATACATTGTACTGGTTCGTGGTAGCGACTCCGCCCGCCGCAAATATGCCAGAGGTATATTTTGTCGTGTTTCTACGTGTTGGTCAGAAGCGTGGTAGCACTAAAAAAGAATTTAATTTGAAATACTTGAAAACGGGGGGAATTATGTCAATGTCAAACGCAACAGAGCTGAGAGGGTGTTGTTGTTGCTTGATCAATATCGTGAGCTTTTTAAAATGTTTGTCAAGGCAGGTAAACCTACATTTCATGATGACACTGTACAAAGTCATCCGTTGCTGGAACGAGTTGTGAATGGGACTATATGTTTGGGAGAGCTCTTTGAAAATATTATTTAGGTACAGAATACTGAATATCTGCTTTAAATTTTATTGTATTTTTTATTTAATTTGATCATTTCTTCCGTTACTTGGTCCAATCCCAGGACTCTATTCTGAATATGTTTTCAATTACATAAGGTCATAGTGTAACAATGCATCAATAGATTCAAAACAATAGTGGCATCACTTTTTATGTTTATTTGTTCATTCATTACTTTTGTGTGTGTCAGATATAACATGCCAATTGAAGCCTAGACTGCACCATCCAATGCAAAATAAAGTCACTGTAGTCTTATCTTTTAAGCTGTATAGTGAATTGAGGCATATGTGGTGGGAGCTTATAAGTTTAACTTCTTCCCACTCTATTTCAGTTTTCAACAGGACAAAGATAGTGTGTATAATTGCAAGTTTTTTATCATGTATAATATGAAATTACTGTAAATTCCAAAAATAGATTTAGGTTTCTAAGGTGGACATAAATAAACACAATGTTTAATGAATTTATACCTCCAAAAGAAAAAACATAATGTTCACAAATACTCAAAAAATATTATTCTGAATTTATTCCCAATAAATGTGTTCTGTTACTCCCACAATATAATAAGAATTACCTTGCTTTGTCACGACAGCTCATTCCCCACTATCCTCTATCTCAGACTGTGGTTCTAGGCCTTTCATCTCTAAACACCTGGCTGTCATTTGAGACCACTGAGCAGCTATAGTAACAGCCTGCCACTGAGGACGTTAATCACATATATATGTCCTTTTATGCGCTAAAATTCAATAGTCCTACTTGCTTGCTAACTTGAGTATTGTTACATGTAGTTCTTTTGGCTTATTTGATGCCCCCATGATGCCACGCCCTCTGCCCAGCTGCTGCCACTTCATAATTCTTCTTCTTCTTCTTCTTTGCTGTTTTTTGGCGGTTGACAACCAAAAAAAAAGGAGTATTACCGCCACCTACTGTACTGGGGTGTGTGGACCATTGGCACTTCATAATTGAGGTGCACACCAGGCTTTGATTGCAGGTCTTTATAAACTTAACCCAGAACTCTCTTTCATTGCATTTGATCTGAGTGTGTTGCAGCGTGAACAACTGTTGCTTATTACAGCTAAGGCTACACCAAAGTATTTTCCTGACAGAGGCTGACGACCCACTATGGGTAAGGAGAAGACTCATGTGAATGTGGTCATCATCGGCCATGTGGACAGCGGAAAATCCACCACGACTGGACACCTGGTCTACAAATGCGGTGGCGTCGATCAGAGGAAATTGGAGAAGTTTGAGAAGGCTTCAGCACAGGTAAGTCTTCTCACACATCACTTTTTAATGCAGAGTAAAAATTCAATGAACTAAATTGCCTTTAGGTGGGAAAGGGTTCCTTCAAATTTGCCTGGGTGCTGGACAAACTAAAGGCTGAGCGGGAAAGGGGAATCTCCATCGACATCTCTTTGCTTAAATTCAACACTCAAAAGTACACCATGACCATCATTGATGCTCCAGGACACCGGGATTTCATCAAGAACATGATAACTGGAACCTCACAGGTCAGTGGGCTCTGGGCTAGCTTCACATGTGGAAGGCCATGTATTTGACTGATCTGTTTCAGGCCGATGCTGCACTCCTGGTGGTGTCTGCTGCAAAAGGAGAGTTTGAGGCGGGTGTATCTCGGAGTGGTCAGACTAGAGAACATGCTTTGTTAGCCTACACTCTGGGCGTGAAGCAGATCATAGTCTGTGTGAACAAGATGGACCTCACTGAACCTCCATACAGCCAGAAGCGCTACGATGAGGTGGTCCGGGGTGTGACTGGCTTTCTCAAAAAGATTGGCTATGACACCGCAACCATTCCCTTTGTTCCCATCTCTGGTTGGACTGGAGAGAACATGATTACAGCGTCACAAAAGGTAAGACTTAAAATTATTTTTGACTGGGGAAAACTTCCAACCTAAACTTTCTCCCAGATGCCATGGTTTCAAGGCTGGAAAGTCCGGAGGAGAGAGGGCCATGCTAATGGTAAAACTTTGCTGGAGGTCCTGGACTCTCTTCTGCCACCTGTGCGCACAATCAACAAACCTTTAAGGTTACCTCTGCAAGACGTTTACAAAATTGGAGGTGAGACTTGAAGCTGCTTTAACTCTTGGAAGCATGAAGTGTAATGCTCCTGCTGCACTTGAACTTACTAACGTTGTACTGTTTCTTAGGTGTTGGAACTGTTCCAGTTGGTAAAATAGAAACTGGCGTCTTAAAACCTGGCATGACCCTGATGTTCTCTCCGGCCAAACTCACAGCTGAGGTCAAATCCATAGAGATGCACCACCAGGGCATGCAGACTGCACTGCCAGGGCACAATGTTGGCTTCAACATTAAGAATGTGTCAGTGAAAAACCTGCGGCGTGGGGATGTGGCGGGGAACGCTCAGCAGGACCCTCCTTCAGACGTCAAGAGCTTTGAGGCTCAGGTTTGTCTCCTTTGCAGAAGGAAATCTCAACGTTTTTGGTGCAAACAATGTCTTTGTTTGTAGGTCATTGTGCTAAACCATCCTGGTAGAATAAAGGTGGGCTACTCTCCAGTGCTGGACTGCCACACGGCCCATGTGACCTGTCGCTTTGCTGAGCTGAAGGAGAAATTGGACCGACGCACAGGGAAGAAGATGGAGGCTCATCCACAGATCCTGCAGTCTGGAGACGCTGCCACAGTCAAACTGGTGCCAATCAAACCCATGTGTGTGGAGAGCTTCTTCACATATGCTCCTTTAGGTAAAACCTGGATTATCATATGTAGTCTGTACAACATTTACATCTAACTCTCTGGTCCACAGGTCGGTTTGCAGCAAGAGATCTGAAACAGACTGTCGCTGTTGGAGTGATCAAGTCTGTGGACAAAGACTCAAGCTCCAAACTTAAAGCTCCTGTGTGTAAATAATTTGTTTACCAGATTTCTGGTATCTGTAAATTTTGTTTTAGAGGAAGTTGCCCTGTGTTGTAACACAGTATTTATTTTGTTAGTTTAACTTGTGTTGCTCTTAAATCCATGTTGGATGTATAATTTTAGTTACATTTGAAATGGAAATAAATGTGAAACTTTCCCTTTGGTGTACTGTGATTTCAAAAGGCAGAAACTGGTTTAGGTACAGCACTTTAATGATACAATGTTTGTTCCTTACATGGGGAAAATCTGTCAGTGAGGTTTGGGTGAAATACATGGCTCTTCAGCCTTTACAAGCCCAACCTGAAAGACTGATTCACAGGCAAAGTGGAAATGTGCTAAGTCCAGTAACATGGAATGGTTTACATGATTAAAATCTTCAAGCTCGAGGTTTTACAATGCCATATACACTTTCTAGCCTGTTTATAAAATAAAGTTATTGCTAAGTTGTCATTTTTCCATACTTGACAATACTAATAGTGGCTTCAATAGGATACTTGTGGTCTGCTTTCAGTGGCTCTTCAAACCCTGAGGCATCTTGTACACAGCACTCCACTCATTTCCAGTCAGTTACACCATGCACAGTTGGACTGGGGCTGGTGTCGGCACAACACACAGTGGACAGTGTAACAAGGAGCATTTGGTGACCTACGGTGAACCACAGGCTGTTATTCCACAATAGCAGCAGGTTTTATACTGTAAAACAACCATAATACATGTACACACAAAGCAAGCAAGAACAAGGAGTACAGTTAATGGAATCTTCATCTCGGGTGGGTCTGCAGGAGACTTTCACCACTTCATTTAATCGTGGTCAACAGGATGCAAGACACAAATGACATGACCTAGTTCACATTCCTTTTTCCAGAAATATAAGCTAATAGCTGGAGGGCCTTTAAAACTAAGATAAAATTCAATCTCCACTGCCCTTATGCTTAGTCTGACAGAGAAATGGTACATGTTTTGTACAATAAAACATGTATTTACACTCAGACACAAATATATATATTTACAAACATATATACACAGTAACAGCATAAACATAGACTTTAGGTAAGTGCTAGGGTTCTGAGGCCTGGTCACAGCCGTGCTATAGGGTTAAGATAATACTGGTAGAGAAGAATACACACAATCTTTGTACAGCATGGACTGCATTATCCATGGCGAGATGAGCCTTATTGGGTTTATGCCTTTTTCTTCTTTAGGACACTTGTCTTGTGGCAATGGGCGTTACATTAGCTATTTACAGGCCTCCAAATTCAGGGAGAGGTGTAGTGCAAGACTGTCCGGTTGTCAATCACTCAAGATGTGCACAAAAGACATAGGAAACACCCCCTTTCTGTCCGGTTCTCCTTCGATGTGACCGATCTGAAACAAACGAAGAAAAGCACATTCAGAAATAAGTCCCAAAGACGTCGTTATTTGGCATTTTAAAGAGTATGAATCCAGGAGGTCCAGGAGGTCGACTTACCCACCACTCCTGGTCCTCTTCACCGGTCACTATGATCACTTCCCCTTCGGCAAACGTGAGCTCGTCGTCGTTGTCGGCCTGACAGTCGTAGATGGTCTTGACTCGGCGTGTTTTGCTCTTTCCCTGCAGGTGAGGAACAATAACATGTGGGTCACAGATTCAGCCATAACAGCACCGTGTGAAAGGCCATTATGAGGTTTTTATTGCATGTTGTATGTTTTTATTGTCAGTGGGAGTTAATGTTACAATATCCAATAACAATATCCAACACAATTCACACTTATTGACTCATTATTATCATTGACGTGTTCTTGAATTTAATTTGTCTAACATGTCACAAAAATATAAACAATAATCTCATATAGAATAAATAAATAATGAATAAGGATAAGACTAAGCCTTCTGGGTATTTAGGCAAATAGGATTTTTGAGAATGTAGAACGTGCCTGCCCTATATGTTGGCAAAACTAAAGTTAGATTTAAAAGAGAGAAAAAAAATCTGAAAATATTTGACTTATTAATTTGAATTTAAAATCAAATCAATTTTTTGCCCATTTTTTCAACATGTTCATACCGGTGTGTTGATCTTCCGCGGCAGAGGCACCGGAGTCTCAGCCATCCCAGCCGGGGTCCCGTTAGTGTCCTCCGCAGACTGTGGGGAGGAGGGCACCGTCATCGCCTGCTGATTGGGTGAAGGTGAATCCTGGGGGGTGACCTGGGGGGTGACCTGCGGGGTGACCTGGGGCGTGGTCTGCAGCGGTGCTGGTGAAGTAGCCTGTGGCTGAGCTTGATGGGACTGAGGCGGGGGCGGAGGCTGGGTCTGGGGCCTCTGCACAGGGTCCGGCCTGGGCGCGGACTCAGGCTTGTGGTCGGGCTTGTGGTCGGGCTTGTGGTGAGGCAGGTCGGACAGCTGAGGCTTTGGGGGCAGGTCCTTCAGCTGGGGCTTCGGCGGCAGGTCAGACAGGTGGGGTTTGGGGGGCAGCTCTCCGGGTTTGGGAGGGAGCTCTGAGGGCTGGGGTTTGGGGGGCAGGTCTCCGGGCTGGGGCCTCTCTGGAGGGGGGGCCTTCTGGGGAGTGTCGTTTCCTGGTGGGGACTTCTGGAAGACCTCTGGGGGAAGGCTCGGCTTATCCATTGACGGGTGGTGTATAGTGTCGATCTTCCGCAGTGCCACTGTGCAAACAAACAAGAATCTAAAATATATACAGTACAGACCAAAAGTATCGACACACCTTCTCATTCAAAGAGTTTTTTATTTTCATGATTATGACAATATTAGATTCACACTGAAGGCATCAAAACTATGAATTAACTCATGTGGAAGCAACTGAAAATATGTTTTATATTCTGGTTCTTCAAAGTAGCACATTTCGCTCTGATACTGCTTCACTCTTGGCATTCTCTGGACAAGCTTCAAGAGGACCTGAAATGGTCTCCAACAGTCTTAAAGGAGTTCCCATGATGCATAGCACTTGTTGGCCCTTTCGCCCTCCCTCTGCGGTCCATCTATCTATCCATCCATCCATTTTCTTCCCCTTAATCCATGTCTGGGTCGGGGGGGTGTGGCAGTCACAGCTGCACCCAGTACACAGAGCACCAGCCCCTCACTGACCACTGTTGAATCCACAGGAGCTGAGATCTTTCAGCGGGGGCTCCAGGCAAAGTGGGGTTAAGTGTCTTGCCCAAGGACACAACAACAGCAGTCATCAGTGGGAGTCAGGATTGGGTTCAGGTCCAGTGACTGTGGAGGCCGGGTCTGTCCCAGCACCATCACTCTCCTCATTGGTCAAACAGCCCTTACACAGCCTGGTGTGGATCTACAGTCAATAGTCATGAAATGAAAGGAAGCTCATTGAATGAGAAAGTGTGTCCAAACTTTTGGTCTGTACCGTTTAGGCGAAAATAACAGGTTTTGAAATGGTGCAACAAATGTGAATCATAGACTCAATATTTTGTCCTTTTTAAAAACAAAAGTAAATATAAAATAGAGTAGAATTTGAAAAACAAACCTTTTTGAGGTAGTTTTGGCAACACCCTTGGACCAAGTGTAGATTTGGTGTTACTTGAAGTGGAGCTGAGGAGAGAGACGTCAGACGGTTGTGTTGTCTTTCGAACACACAAAACGACACTATTCTCAGTTTCATAAAGCGGTACCTTTGCTGCTGAGGAATGCCTTCAAACTTATTAGACACAGGAGACATCTTGGTGACTGGCGGAGGAGTAGAGTCACTTCCTACAATATTCACAGCCACCACCACAAACAAGTCAATCAACACATTGCCAAAAACCGGGCTGGAGAATGTATTTTGTGATAAATGTGGAGGTCAATAAACATGCCGTCATGGTTTAAATAAAACAAATGAGAGAGGCGTCGTCTGGCTGAGCTTTCCATGAGGCTGGATTATTTGTGGTTTAGTGCAGGGTAAGGTTTCCTCATCGTGACATAGTGTGACAGAATGCACAAAACGCTACAAAACAGACAAATGAGAACATCCAACTAACAGAACTATTGTGTGTGCGGACAAAGGGAGTGGCAGCTGGTGGAGAAGACGTGGTTTTAATGTGTGTTTCTGTTGACTATATCCGATGTATCACAGGGAGAGAAAGAATAATGCAGATTTTTTTTTCCCTCTGCCCTACTTTTAAAAACAGTTTTGGGACAGAGTGCGATTGATCACGTTTGATGAGTCTGGGGCCATTGAGAAAAGCAATACAAAGGTTCTGTTTATTTCATTTGCCACCATTTAGTTTGGATTCATTTGCAAGATTCTCTTTAGCGTCATTGTGTACAGAACCAGTGTTTTGCTTCTGTGTTTGTGTGGATTAGGGCTGCAGCATTTGAAAGGAATGCCATATTTCTCAGCTAACACTTACAATGTTTGTTATTTCTGTTATGAAGCGGGGATCATGTTCAAAGTCACTAGAAAAAGTCAAATTTGAGGGAAATTTGTAGTTTTATTTGATGAATTTTGGAGATTTTTGGCTTCTTTCCTCATTATGCTAAAGATAGGGATTTTATTATGCAAGAGTTAGAGTCCTTCCCAATACTACCTTTTACGACTATACTACTAATCTTTTTCATGTCTATATAGTTATTATATGATGCTATAAAGACTGGTCGTGTTCAGTGGTCTAGTTTTGCCATTTCTAGTAACGATTGAAGTTCCTTAATGGATTTGATTGCGACAAATAGTGCAGCCCTAGTGTGAATGTATGTATTTCGTATCGCGCACACACAGCACTAGCCCCTGACCCCACTCTCTGTGATACATCGACTATTGTTGACGCAAGTGGATGCAAGTTTAAGGAGCCTAAAGCTAATGCACTACATGTTATCTTTGGGGAGTCGGCGTTCTCACCCCCAGTTATGCCCCCTTTACTGTGTGGACTGTGGGAGAGCGGGCTGGGTGGGTCAGACAGAGTGCGTTTGTGTCCAGGAGGGGGGGGCGGTGGCCTCTTCTTGGACAGAGTAGAGCTGCCTCCTGGGGTGAGTGCAGAGGGAGGGCCGGATATGGGTGGAGCTGAAGGAGTAATACATAAAAACAAATGAGGAGATGAGGTCCCCCCCACCAAAAAAACAACCAGTCAAACCCCGACAAAACAATCCAACAGAAGCAGAGGGTGAAGGAGGAGCAGACAGGGGCAGATTGGCTGTCGGGAATAGATCACGAGACAGTACGAGGAAAGGCATTAGAACACACTTCATCCAAGGCAGTCAACGGGGACAGAACAGGTACATCTGGAAGGAGATGCAAACAGTTAAAAGGACATGGTGTTTTCACTGTGGGTCGAGTGCGTGCGACCTCTGGACAAGGAGACGGAGCGTGTGTAGGTATCATCAGAGTTAAACATGGAGAGGAAAGTAAAGTAAAGCAGCTAATAGAGAGCTCAGCCAGAGAGGAAGTCAGCTGTGGTAAGGTTTTAATGCTCGAGGATGGTGGACCTCATTCATGTCGTTTAAGAACAATGCAGATGAGCTAAAGGCCCAGTCTGCCTCCTTCATCCCTTTGTTTGCATATAAAACTCCACCAGCCTGTAAATCTGAGCAGTAACGGCCAAAACGGAGGGACAATTGTAAATGGGGCACACAGCCGAGAAGAAGGAAAACATAAAATCAAGATATTCACTGATGTATGGTCGAGTGCCAGCCAGTGTGGCGTAGTGCGAATGAGAGCCAAGGAATGCCAAGTGTGGAGCTGAAAGAATAGAGAAACAAAAAAGAGAAAGAAAGAGCGAGATGAGGAGTGTGGAAGAGCATTGACAGTTTGTCAGTCTCAAAGAGAATCGCTCCCACACAATTCAAAATAACAAGATGAATTCTTATCTGTGGCAAGCAAAGAAAGAGGCGACACTCGGCTTCACCTATAGAGAGAGAAGGACCCGCTGCTAATGTGAGGCTTTCATCTGATTTGTCTACAATTCAAATAATTAATATGCTTTTGATTAATATGACATGACTCTACTGTATGCATCGTTTCCAAAGTGAAAGTCAGATCAGTGCTTTGTGTACAGCTTCTCCAGTCATAGGAAAATAACCACACAATGCCTTGGTAAAAGAGGTTGTGAAGGCCTTACTCAGTTACTCCCTTTAAGGAGGACAGTTATCATTAATTGTGAAACTGCAGAGATAGCAGAGCAGTGTGTTGTGCAGGTTGGAGGTCAGTGACCGTGTGTTTTCATGTAGCCTGCTCTGTGTGTTTAGGTTGGACACATTCAGTAGAAAAATATGATGAGAAGCCCATGCAGTAGACACAGTGGCTTCACGGAATATGGAAACTAGGCCATGTCCTAAACAGAGCAACATCAGCCTGTAATAGAGCAACAGTAATGAAAGGGTCAGACAAAGTGTAGTGGAGGCCAGACAGAGCAGGCAGGTCTGACCTTTGCCTTGGTTCCTGGGGGGCAGTGGGGGTCCGTCTGCCACAGGAGAGGAGCTGAGGTCGGTGGAGGCGCTGTACATCTGGTTGGTGAAGGCGCTGTAGGACAGACGCTGCTGCTTGTCCCTTTGGCTGATGAAGCCCGGCAGAGAGAGCTTGTCGTGGGGGGACAGGCTGGAGGAGTGGCAGAAGCTCTGAGGCCTGGGGGACCGGTCCTTTTTAATGGGACTGGGCTGCAGCAGGACACACAGGGAGAGACAGTGTTTATTCATGCTGACGTTTGCTCAAATGTTATTTCAATAAACTTAAATAAAACACACCTTGAATCTAAAATATTTTTTCAGAAAGTAGAGATTCCTTTCCTCTTTATTATACTAAAGTCGAAGATTTGATTTGATTGTTAAGTCAATAAAGGACAATTAAAGCATCTCTTCATCTTAAACTAGTCTCTGAACAGCTCTGAGTGCTGCAGCAGTAAAATATAGTGCTCAGTGAGAAGCAGACATGAGCTTGGCTCCTGAGTGGATTGCATTAGAAGGTGAAGAGATGTAATAACATCAGTGCTCTCCAAACCTTGTCATCCAGGTCGTCATCACTCTCGTCCATCTCCTCCAGTCGCAGGCTCCACTCGTACTCCACATGGATGTGGGGGTTGAACTTGCCCTCTGCAGCCTGCACAAGCTGACACAAAACCATTCATGCTTTTACTCCCCATGAAGCTTGTTTAGTGCACAGGTTTATCTGACTGTTAATAATAAACACACAGCAAATACATGTTGGTGCTAGAAATGAACCTACACTGCCCCCTGGTGTCTGAACGGCCTGTCATAAAAACTAAATATATAATAAATAATCTTCTAAAGTCTGATTTTCACTGGACTTTGGGAGCTATATCTTTGCACCAATTAAAAGGCAGTGTGACATCCCAAAAGAGGAGCTGTCCTTTTGCCACGCAGACACACTTACTGCCTCCTCACACGGAGTGTTCCTCAGTCGCCTGGCAACATCCAGTGCAGTCTCTCCGTTCTGATTGGCTGAGGGGGAGTGAGCATAATCAACAGTTAGAGCCGCATCTGTGGCCGGAGACGACGTGATGCAGAGTGTGACTCACTGATGTCGGTGGCTGGCTTGCCCCGCAGGAGTAACTTCAGGCATTCAGGCTTCTCATACATGCAGCAGTAATGGAGGGCGGTGTTCCCCCACTCCGTCTGCTTGTCTACGTTACCACTGAGGAACAAGACACACACACACACACACACACAGGACACACACACACACAGATCAACACACATCATGTCACACTCTACTGTAGCATATACTAAGTACTACAGTTAAGAATGAGTCATATGAACATTTAATGGGAGCAGTAGTTTTCCAAATAAGCGGCTGAGTCACATTTCATATGATTAAAGTAATGCCTTTTTTGTATTGGGACACTATAGATTAATTAATGTTCTTTTTCGGTGCAGGCGATAGGCAATGGAAGCACTGATGTGTAAACAATTGAAGAGAAGGGAATAAATTAAGGAAGCGAACAAGTGCTTGACCCATTTCTGTTTGCCTTGTGGGAATCTGAGCTCAGTGCACTAAGCTTTGCTCTGCACCGCGGCTTCTTTAGTATCAGGAAACAAGAACCCAAAGCTAACCCCTATCCAAGACCAAGATACAACTGTATTTATCTTCATTGAAAGGGCTTTTTGTATTGACTTTAATAACTAACGGGGGTATTGTGTTGTTTATCCTTACAAAACAAACATGTATGTGCTAAATAGTGTAGTTTTCCTTATGATAATAATACCTGTTTTGCACAAGGAAGTCCACCAGGTGCAGTGAGGTCTGGTCAGCAGTCCTTACAGAGTAGTGCAGTGCTGTCTCCCCAGTCTCCTGCAGGGGGCAGTCCAACAGAGAAGATGTGAGCGAGGCAGCAGGCAGCATCCATTCCCTATTTCCACCACTCTGAGCATTTTAAACTAGCTGCAGTAAACAAAATGGCTTCTAAAATCAACATATTTCCTAAAAGATTGTGTCTTTCCCACCCCCCAACATGACATGACATTCAATCTGTGCCTGAATCTATAAATCGTTAAAGCCCATTGCTCTTGAGAACACACGCGAGATGCATTCTGACGTGTCTAGTCATCTATACCATACGAGCTAAATATAGAAACAGCAGCTTGTTGGGAGAGAGTGGAGGGTGAGTGGGACGCAGACAGAAGCCGTTCAAATGGACCTTTTGTCACAGATCAGATATTGCTGGAGTGTGACCCTCTATCGGCAGCTCTCTGTGTCACTGAATACACTCATTTGCACGTTCAGTTTCCTTACCCAGCTGCAACAAGCGTGTTTTAAACAGAGATAAGCAAAGATGTGCGTGTTTTAGTCCTTTGACCTGATTATGTCTCATTGGGTCTGATCACACAAGCTGTTTGGGTCTGCGGCTTTTCTCTTGGGTCTATGGGTCTATTTCTCTCTATACCATGAATCAGAATATGAACGAAAGAGAAAACGCTTTCCAGATATCAAACCTAGCTATGGATATTACACACAGGTGTTTGACTTTGGTGACATAACGGTGGCGATGTGAAGGATCTTGCCGCACATCACCACCTGCTGGCGAAGTTCTACAGATGACTCAACCCTTCCCAAACCATACACCCATAACTAAAGCCAGTGGAGAGTTTACTTCATGATATTAATCCTAGTTCGTCCTTGTGGATGCGACTCACCTGTCCGGCCTCTGGGAGGGGCTCCATCAGCTCCACCCCCTCCGCATAGACCTGGATCAGAGCCAGCAGGTCCCTGGACTGGACTGCCTCAAATAACTCGATCATTTTAGCTGCCGCAGATGTGCATGTTTTCCTTGCATACTTGTGGTCCACATACTTAGCGTTGATAAACTCTTTCCTCACTGTCCTGTGGGTGGAACGTGCTCATTCAGAGACGGAAACAAGATGTTGACATAAAAACAACATTTAAGCAAATATAAAACTTACATGTCGCTTGAGGGGTTGGGCTTTGGTGAAGGAGAAGGGAGGTTTCCCTCCATGATCTCATTGAAACTACTATTCCCTACATTCTTGGCCAGCTGGAAAAGAAGTGGCACAAGATGAGATCATGAAATAACAGAGTTCACATGGCCTCGGAGATAAATGCTTTGTGAGTTAATGTTCTCTTTCAAAATAATCAGATATGAATGGATTTCAAATTTCAAAGCAGAAGAAATCACTGCTGCAGTTTTATTCTGATTGAAAGTGACGTACCAAGAGTTCTGAGGTCCCTAACTTGTCTAGTTCCATGGATTGAATGCGGGAGATGTGGACACCCATCTCACGGTGGATCCCAGAGCATTCGATGCACGTCAGAATACCCAGGTTAGTAGACAGCCACTTTGGATCTGAAACAACATGCAAACATGAAAACCAACACCTCTATGTTGATGTAACTTTGTACTTTAGTAAGTTCCCAGAGAGCTCAGGTCTCAGACTACAACAGTGCAGCCTCTGTGGAGGTCCACATGAAACAACACAGATGATAAAAGATAATGTACAAATGTCCGTTGTGGTTCTATGATGATCATCTATTTTTAAAGGCCCAAGTTGTTTCTCCCTTAGGGGCCTTTGGTATGTCTGTGCCATGGACTGTAGACACAAAAGACTGATAGATTGAAAGCTATTTTGCATCTCGGGACTCCATGGTTTCCATTCTGATCTCCTCTGGTCACTGACCCCACTGCCTCGACAGGACATACAGTATAAAGCCAGTGAAAAGCCTGGTAATGCAAGCAAGTTTAAATTATTCAAAGTGATATTGTAAATAATTTGAAGCAGAAGATAGCTGATGGCAAACATCACATCCATTAAATCCAGCGATTCCATCTTTGTGAGGATTGTAAGATAAACCTACTCTGCAAACAGACAAATGTCCAGAGTGAGAGTGACCCACAATGTGTCTCACAATGTTGTTCATGATGCAATCTGGGAGTAAGACTAAAACTCAAATTAAGCTATGAGGACGGCTACAGCGAAACATAATTTGACACAAACACTAGACCTAAGCTGAGAAAAGGTCATAGGGGCCGTGTTTCCCACAGCGAGAGTACAGCGATGACCTCTATAGCGGCTTAATACATGAAGTCAATCTGCAAAGCCCTACGCACAGCGGCCTGTCAAATCATATGCAGCCGGACCAGAGCGAGGCATTTCAAATGTCACCCAAATCAATTGACATTTCATCAAGTGAAACAACTCAAATCTGCTTAATGCCCATCTGCTACTTCTGCCTCAGCTATGAATAGGAGCCGTGGAGCTGACAAGACCAATCACCTCTGCTCTGCGTGGATAGCAGGGGGTCGTCAGCGCGGCGCTTACGTAACCGCGTGATGTAATGAAACTGTTTTTTCCGAACTCTGCAGTGTTTGTGAAAGTGAGCCTCAGTTTCTACAAGCTTTGTGTGGATGTGGAGACTGTGGATGTGGAGACTGTGGATGTTGAGACTGTGGATGTGGAGACTGTGGATGTGGAGACTGTGGATGTTGAGACTGTGGATGTGGAGACTGTGGATGTGGAGACTGTGGATGTGGAGACTGTGGATGTGGAGAGTGTGTATGGCGGTGTTGAGACTGTGTATGGCGGTGTAGAGACTTTTGAGAGTGTGTATGGCGGTGTTGAGACTTTTGAGAGTGTGTATGGCGGTGTTGAGACTTTGAGTGTGTGTAGGGCGGTGTTGAGTCTTTTGAGAGTGTGTATGGCGGTGTTGAGACTTTTGAGAGTGTGTAGGGCGGTGTTGAGACTTTTGAGAGTGTGTAGGGCGGTGTTGAGACTTTTGAGAGTGTGTATGGCGGTGTTGAGACTTTTGAGAGTGTGTAGGGCGGTGTTGAGACTTTTGAGAGTGTGTATGGTGATGTGGAGACTGTGGATGTGGAGACTGTATATGGCGGTGCTGAGACTGTGAATGGCGATGCGCAGCCGGGGCCCGAGTGTCTGCGGCCCTGTGGAGTGCTGAGTCTTGGGAGTGCGGGGGAGGATGTGGAGAGGCTTGTGCCCTGAATGCTAACAACACTACTGCATTAGCGCTGCCGCCTGCTCCTCAGCGGTTGCTGGGGCGATTTGGAAAGTAGCTCAACGTGAGAAGTAGCAAAAATAGCAGTGACGTTGCACGATTAAGAAAGTAAAATGTGGTGTTTGAGAGGAAATACATTATTTTAAATATGCACTTTTTTGTGCTTTTCACCAACAACATGTAACAACAATGTTCCCTGTTTCCAAAATGTAACTCCACCCCTTCTGTCTAGTGTTGTAGTGCTTTCTGCATGTGAAAGCCAGATCCTGTCACACCTCTGAAGCTAAGCAGGACAGGTCCTGGGTAGTACCGTGATGGGAGTTCTCTGGGAACACCAAGTGCTACAGTTGGGCGGCGGCGACTGTAAGAATGAGTCGAGTGTGTGTGTGAATGGTTGGTGGTGGGAGGGGCTGATGGGACATGCTGGTTGCTTCACTTCTGTCAGTGTGCCCGGAGGCAGCTGTGGCTACAGTAGCAGTTTAACCCTATTGTGTATGGAGTGAAAAAATAATGTCAAGTGAAGTGACACTTTGAGTGTCCAAAAAAGTTCCTGTCTCAGTCCTGTATTAGAACAAGTATTGTACCACTATGACATCACACTCTACAACAAAAGTTTTGACCATTTCTCAGGTGAAGACAAACTTTACAAATCACATGTCTGTGGTTGTGTCCCACTTTAAATGGTTAAAACAAACACCTCCCTGGGGAATTAGTAAGTAAGTAAGTATTTATATACGCCTTTCACTGCAGATTGGTCCAAGCGGTTACATTGTAATTTTTTGCTAGTCTCCTCCACTGAGATGGGCGGGTCGCAGTCAGGGGCGCTAGAACATGGACATTTTTGGGGGGAACGGGTACCCGAGGAACTACGCAGACGGGAACATGCAACCCACTCAGAAGCCTGGTCGACGGGATTCGACCAGACCTTGCTGAGGCGAGGTGCTATCCACTCAGCACCGTGCGCCGTGAGTATTGTTAAACAAAAGTTTTACCTTTATTGTTTCAGCATATTATTAAGATACATAAGATATTTCTTCACATTCCAAAACATTATAAATTTTTTTTGCCGTTATAATTCTTTAAGTGGGATTTGATTACATGGTGGTAAATGTCAGATTGTGTTGATGCATCGGCTCCGGGGACGTGAGGGTTGACTACAGTAAAGCACAAACGGGACATAGCAAAAAGACTGGAAGGGGCCTGTGGGAGGGAGGGGCCACGGACCACCCACCAGCAGCTCCGCAGTCGCAGCAGATTTCGTTGCCCGGCATCCGGAGGACGTCCTCGATGATGGCCTTAGTGAGGTCCTCCAGGCCGTCCTCCCCCGCGCTGCTCTGCTCCCCGCGGAACGCCATGTTGAGGGCTTCTTCCTTACTGTTGGTCAGCACGGAGATCCAGCTGCGAGGAGAAGGACGCAGGGTCAGGGATAAGGACCGAACAAAATGAGACTGAGGCTTTGATTTTAGACCTGTGCTATAACTTACTAGCATCTGAATTAGTGGTCAAGAAGCATATGCTAAAGTTTAAGTTGTTTTAGAACCATATATGGTCAAATGGGGTTTTCTCCAGGGCCTGGTGGGAATTGCCTCTTACCTAAATTTAAATTCATTTTCACAATATCACAGAATTAGATGCTATATCACATGCACACAATTTCAGTGTAAGTAATTATTTCAAACGGATATATATACAAAATGAAATACAACAAACCAGATACAGATATACAGTTAGAAAGTGGGGTTTGACGCTTCTGCACAACAACAAAACACACACATACACCACACAGACACAGACACACACACACCACACAGGCCCAAACGCTCTCTGGCCCTACACCTCTCTCACATTACTCACTTCAGGCTGAGGGCAATACTCTCTTTCTTCCTCTTAAATAGTTTTGAACTGAATCATATTTGATATTATTATATCATTTAAATCTTCTGTTAATCCATTCCAAAAGGTAGCTCCAAGCATTTTATTTTAAAGTGGTTCTAAATATAGGCACGTATATTTATCAATGGACACTCTTAGATGTTAAAAGCTTATCGTTGGGGCTAGACATTGTAAAAACAGAATATTTGGATGGCAGAAACACAGAAAGATGCTACTTTTCTATTTAACTACATCTTATACACTATTCTTCACATATAATTCTTCATTAATCTGCTCACTCACGCAATACCTACACAACAGGACACCACCAAAATGGCTTCCTGGCATTCACCTCTCTCCACCCACAGCAGTGACCCTGGCTCATGTTAACTTCCCGTCGCCGTCTTTCACCTTTATGAACCCGAGGGCCGCCAGGAGGTGGGCTCGCAAAGATAGACGTGTTAATTTGAGCGTGTTAAAGGAGAGTTATTTCAATACAACCAGGCGCAGGAGTTATTTTTGACGCATGCGCTTATACTTATATTATGTGAAACGCAATAGCCCCCCCGCCTAATTGGATGGGTGAGCCTATGCCTAGAGGAAAAGCGTTGAATAATTTATGGAGAATCCCGTAAAGACACTGCTCCTGCTCCTGCTGCTGCTGCTGCTGCTGCTGCTGCTGCTGCTGCTGCTGCTGCTAGTGCGTGACAGAGCAGAAGAGAAGAGCACAGGGTTGATCCCAGAGGACGCCTGTACGTTCAGCGTGCAGGCCAAGTGGCACGGCGACAAAAAGCCAACTGGAAATCCTCTTTATTTTCAAGAGAGAATATGCAAACTAAGCATTAAAGTGGTGTGGATCAAAGTGGGTATTTTTTTGCTCTGCAGCCGCTCAGGAAAATACACACGGCGGCTGCTTCCCAAATGCGTTTGATATGTGACTTGCAGAGAACAAAGTGTTGACTTGTTTCGAATTCTGCTAAAAGGGCTAACGGAGAAGAGACCGATCAAGGGGAGAGGATCAAGCGATAATAAAAAGCGGCATTGATGAGGTTATGTTGGGAAATACAATAGTTGATTCAAAATGACGGAGAACGCCAGGCATAATGACGTCAAAGGTTAAACAGACAAATGGATTCGCTTGTAGTAGATTTCTGTGTAGAATAGTGTGAGAAGAGGTCGTTTCTGGTAACTAACACCAAGCATAAAGAGGAAATAAAAACCAATACACATGCTAGCAATACTCACATAACAAACTCCTGTTCATCTTCTGCTTGGAAATGATATGTCCGGTTATCTGTCATCCAATAAGAACAAAACATTATTAGAAAAGGTTGCCTGGATCCCATTTTTACACACACACTTTGGTTGAACTTACGAGAAATCAGGTCAAAGCACTTCCTATCCTCGGAACTGGGCTTCACCTGACAGGTCAACAGGTTGAGTTTGACCGGCTGTCGGTTGGACTGAAATAACAAAACAAAAAAAGTTAGAAATATGTTTAATCACAATTTTTTGGGAGGTTACCATCTCTCAACGTGGAGAAATGGTCAAATAGTTGCTTAGTCTTTGTTGTTATGTGTAACTCTTTCTTTGAGCCCTCCCAATCTGCATCAAAATAATTAATTGTATTTGTTCAAACAGAAAATAATAATAGAAATCTTTTTAAATTTTCAAGTCAGAACACAAAATGGCATCTTCATCTTTTGCATAGCCTTGTGAGTCACTATACGACTCTTTAGGTTGAGTGGCTGAGTGAGTGTGGTCGTCTCTTTTTCACTTTTCTGTCTTAAAAAAGCGGATTTAAAGTTGTGACAGAAGCCAAAAGAGAGAGAACCAAACCGTTTTAGAGCCAGAAACTACAGTAGTCAGAAGGATTTTATTAGAGTTACATTGTTGTGGTTTGAAAGTTAAGTAACCCAGCTTTAATTTGAATTCAATTGTTCACCAGCAGCACGTCACTACGATTGCAGATTAGCAGAGCAATTGTCTCGTCACCTCGGCTGGCACGGCTCGCTCAGACAGCCCAGCCACAGTGTGAACTCGGGGCCTGTTCGGTGCCAGCGGGAAACTGGGTTGCCCTGTGTACCGTCATAATGGGCCCAGTTGGCACTCGGACACTGAACATTGTCTGCTGCCAGTGTTCGACTGGGGAGGGGCCAGGCACGTGCTAATGAAACGCTAACAGCCTGGGAGCCGCTCCGCTGGCCCCGTGCCCCACTGGCCAAGGCACAAGTTCAAGGCACCACAAGTTCAAGGCTCTACAAGTTATACAGACAAGAATGTAAAAATAACAATAGCATTTGTATTGACTTGGTTTGAAATGCAGCTAGTTTCCCTAATGAACTCAGAAACGAAATGAAAGACAGAATAATAATAATAATCCCTATTTATTTAGTAATGAATGAAATCATAATTATGTCAGAATAGATTTTAAAGCTGCTTTGCGTATGTTAAAGTTTCTCCACGGATCGCACCCAAGTGCATCTGTGATATACATGAACCAACTCAGACTCTGAGGAGCACAGGGACTGGCCTCCTGCTGGGACTCTGAGGAGCACAGGTACTGGCCTCCTGCTGTACAATTAAACTTCCCTTGCCTTTTTCTAATCATGGAGTATGATCATAGAAATTGCAACTAATTTCAATGATTACAATAATTCTACTGTAAAAGGTAAATGAATTCCACAGCCGTAACTCCACATACTAATCCTCGTTCCTCTCTGAAGCATGTCTCGGTAGCTTCTAACCTTTCAACGATGCACATTGCCGTTTCCAAAGCGCCCGTGCAATCACAAGTGCACACAGATATGATGTCATGCTGCAGTGCTTCACCGACGTCACTCTCTCAGGCTTTAAAACGCTACATGTGAACAAAAGGCGGCTCATAGACTCATCTCTCCTGAACGTTATTCCGAGATAATCCTCAAACAAACGTGTGTGATAGTAAACAAGCCAGCGGCGCGTCGGCCTCCGTGGGCTTATACCGGCTCAACCAACACACGGCCCACGGGTCATTCCACAACTGAACCAGGCCTTTAGAACGGCCAAGAAACCATTCGTATTAGGGTTCTTTGGAGACATCCATCCATCCATCCATCCATCCATTTTCTTCCCTTTAATCCATTTCTGGGTCAGGGGGGTGGCAATCAGAGATGCCACCCAAGTCTCATAGCACCAGCCCCTCACTGACCCTCTGCAGGTGGTGAGTCCACAGGAGGACGGCTGCTCTCTGAGTGTGAGCATAGCCTTGATCTTTCAGTGGGGGCTTTGGGCAAAGTGGGGTTAAGTGTCTTGCCCAAGGACACAACGACAGCAGTCATCAGTGGGAGTCGGTGGAGAAGGTGCAGAGGTGGGATTATTATTTATTGCTGTGAATGCACTCACTTTGTGCAACAGTAACAAATGTGCAATGATAAATAATGACTGTACCCGATATCACCAAATATATCGCCACACTTTCCCTAGAGCCGCTTGAAGGAGTAGCTAGCTGCCTTCATCGTCCCAGGAAAGTAGCTCTCTGGGTGAAAACGGTTGGAGACGCCTGATATAGAAGAATGCTCAGTTGGAACAGAAAAAGTAAAGCACCAAAAAAAGTGGGATAAAATTATTGCTGCCTTATCATTGGAAAGAAATTCTGATAATTAAACATTTTTTGTTTTTGTGTGAATGTGAGAAATCCTTTGTCTGTCCTTTTAGTTGTTTGTTTGTTTGGTATTTTTTGTCTATCCCTTCTTGTGCGTTGTGTTTTTTTTGTTATGCTTATATTTCTGTTGTTGGTCTGTCTTGACTATAATTGTCCTTGAAAAAAGATAATTATTAAACCAGTTGTAATAAATGTGGAAAGGTGAGACAGAGGAGGGACAGGTGGCTATCGCACCAGGGTCGAGATGGGTCCTCTTACATGCTATTAGCTTAATGACAATGTATTTAGAATAGAGTACACAGAGAAGAAGGAGAGAAACCCACTCATATGTTATCGTCATGTGTATGCTCTGTAACCACCAGCTCATGTCGCCTCCTTTCTGACCAGAGACGGGTGAGATAGCTTTTCCAACATAAGGGATATTACAAAGCTTTCCCGGATATTGCCTTGGCTCTGATACCTATACTTGAGAAATTTAATTTAGCTGATACATGTCACCGATGCTGTTTTCCTGCTTTTGTCTCTGCGGGTTTCGATAGTATTTGATTTCTGTGTTTGTTTGCTATAATGTGAGAGTATTATTGGCGTCTTGACTGACTTTCTCCTGGGTCACATGCATGTTTTGTTATCCGGAGGCAACAACACTTACCTGACATACATATTATTTGTTATCTTAAAGCTGGGGTATCTAACTTTTGTTTTGATTCATAGCAATTAGATTTAGTCTGTCGCAACAGGAAGAGTCTTGTGAACGTGGTACCACAACCTGCTGTCATTATCCTACAAAAAAACAAAAAATATAAACATAAAAAAGATAGAGATTTGATCGTTTTATTAAGTTATGCTTGAAGGTATATAGGAAAGAACCGTCCTCTCCGCTTTTAGAACAAAACTCTTTGGTCTTATTTGACGAGCAAGTATCACCAGAATGATTGACAATTGGGAGGACCAATAGTCTTGATGATCCACCCGGAAGTAAAAAAAAACCCTATGATGCAACAGACATTTCTCCTCTGGTTGGAGCTAGTTGGATTTAATTACATTTTGTTGTGATTTTAAAGTGAGGTACCCCAGCTTTACCAGGATGTGCCATGAATCCATCCTTATTACAACGTTTTGGACTCTGAACAGACTTTTACATATTTGACTTTCGCATATGCTACTACAGCTGCAGGCTAAAAAATGACAAGAAACCCTTACATTTCCTGTTTTTTTTTTCACCCAATTGGATTCCACCCTTATCTTTGCAGACCCAGTTAGACACCTGCCACAGCTACTCCACAATTAGACACATTTTCTAATTACGGCAGACCACTCTCTCTCTTTGTCTGGGGGCTTAGCGGGGGGACTGGACTCCGAAAGCAGATGGCCGGAGAGTGCCTTGATCGCTACATGTGTTTCGTTCTCGTCTTTGGAGCGTCCGCCGCCGCCACTGCTGCTGCGAGAGGGGTGAGGACAATGCCGGAGACGACTGGCGTTTACAGTGCTGATGAGTCACCCAGGCGCAGCGGGCAAAGGGGGGAGGGCGGGGGAGCTGGAGGGGCCGGCGTTGCCATGACGACCCATCTATGTCAATTCCACGCATCCAGATCGCGAGAGGAAGCCCGCCACTGCTGCTCCTGCTGCTCCTGCTACGGCCTCCCCGCGTGATGCCCCGTGCGATAGGAAGGGGAGGGGCTCTCTGTGTGTGTGTGTGTGTGTGTGTGTGTGTGTGTGTGTGTGTGTGTGTGTGTATGTGTGTGTGTCAGTGTAACAGGCCAGGTTTTACTCACCGTGGCATGAGCGATGGTGAGGATGCCCCCCTTCACGGAGCACTGCCGCCGCTGCCACACCTTCCTCAGTCTGCAGGGGAACAGACAAAAGCCTGGTCAGCCATTGTGACGCTCTAAACAAGGGATTTGACACGTTCTTGAAACAGTGTTAGAACTAAACAACAGCTGTGGAAGAATCTCTTTTTTGAAGTACAATATTCTGTGTTCATAATTGTGGATACCTACTGTAGACCTGTCATGATCATTACTATACTGTACTCCAACTATACTGTATATATGATTACAGCATGTCAATATATTTCCTTTAGCTCTGAATCTTCTCTGTGGAGGCTGGAATAAGTCACTACAGTCACTGCTATTTATCACGTGAATTCCTCAATTGTCCTGGTGGTGGCGCTGTTTTTTTTTTTCATCTTAATTTAATTCAACTTTCCTTCGTAAAATATTGTCATGATTTTTCTATGTATAACAGATGATAGAATTGCTATTGTTCATAATACCTGACCATAATATCTGAGGCTGGAGTGTCTATCTTGGGAACCACAAACAGTATTCAAATATATTCTCACTTTCAGAAGAAGTTTGGTTCTACTATTTTTCACTTGCAAATATTTACGCCTCAACGTACAATATGAAACTAATACATGACAGACTCATTCCACGCAGAGAGAGATATATCAAGGCTTTCTTTGTGCAGCAACCTAAAATAAAACATCTCAGAAAATTTTCGAATGGAGTGTAAGCTGTAATCAACAGAATAATGACAAACCAACAAACCTAGCATAAAACCAGACTCCACCCATGGTCTGGTGTGATCCTGCTTGGTTGGAATGAAAACCTGCAGCCACACTGACCCTTTGAGGACAGAGTTGAATAGCCCTGGTCTGTACCGTATATATTGGTTCCACATTTTAAGTGAAATTACAGAAATAAATGAACATTTGAACACTCTTATTTGTGTTTAAAAATTAGCATAGTCCTGGGATAACATAACTGGTCTGTTCAACCCTAACCCTAACCCTATCAAATAAATAAATATATAAAAGTGCAGTATACTTTGAATTAACAGAACATGTGAACAAACCGTCTCTTTATATGTTTTAAGATATATTCACCCATCGCTCTTCTTCAGCAAGTAGCCTTTCTTCTCACATCCAAACTCCTTGTTGCCCTGCAGCTGGTGCATACTGTAGCCGCCTTGCTTACTTTGAGAGTCCTGCGAAAAACACCAAACGCTTTTTAGACCTGTGTAAAAGACGAGGCCCGGGATTTTTAAAAACACATGCAAACTCACATCACACAAACTGATTTATAAAAAAACAAAGGGAGCTGTATTTACAGATAAATAATAATACTAGTGAAAAAAACATGTCATAGAAGCTACAGGCATGCTCAGCAAACAGGGAAAAACTGAAAAACTCTAGAAGCAAAACGCACAGACTGTAGCATGCGTGGACTATTGACTTACTCTTCTAGACTTGAGTCCAGACAAGCAGGAGGCACAGGAGACAGAGATAGAGGGGAGAGGTGTGAAAGACTGTGCTCCAAAGCTAATCACAAACTAAGAGATAAAAAGTGTGTTTCCGTGTCCAGTGAACGCAAACCCGGACTCGAAAAACCAGTGAAAATCGAAGGATGCTATTGGTGAAAGTGGGGGGACATTGTGACTGAAAAGAATGCTGATAAACTAATAATTCTATGTCTGAAAAGATGTACAAAAATATATGTGAATGGGGTGATTGAGGATAAAATTATAATTAAGATTTTGCAATAACGGGATGATTTATTATCGCTCATAATACACGGCCTTAAAAGCTGGAGTAATTCCCTTTGGAACCACACAAAGTCACTATCAAAATACTAGTTTCTCACTCTCATAAAAGTTTTGGCCTGCATTTATTTTTGGCCTTTTTCACTGATAAAGCTGATCTACAGATGTGAAAAGTAGAGGACCAGCCCTAACTCTGCCAATCAGCTGTCAGTATTTGTAAAAGATTAAATGTTTGCTAATAAGATAAAGACAGCCGTGTTCATGAAACAAGCAAAAGAAAGTTAGGTACCCCAGCTTTAATCTCCTGCACATACAATGCACGTTAACCCTTAAATATCTGTAATAGTTCTATGATTTTTGTTGTTTTGAGTCTTTCCTTGCCGACGCAGGAGGGTCTAAGGACAGTGGTGATGATCCAGGACACTCGACAATTATCGACATTTATGGACATTGGTCATCCACGCCTTATGTTTTTTTATCATTGCATAACTACTGTTGTGATTTAGGGCTATACTAGAATAAACTTTATCTAATTGAATGATAGGGCCAATATTAAGGTTTACAAATGAAGTATCTGCAAAACCAGTTTAAGCTTCTCTATGTTAGCCGTAGCATTAGCATTCTCCGACCACTCTCACGTCAAAGATGAAAATAAGCAACACATTCAAATTATCTGCCAATCGCCATTTCCAATGATCCAAATGACACCTGTACGCCACAAATATACGAGTATTTATAGGACCCGGTCTAAACTTGGACGCATCAATGTGCTACAGTGTAATTGAAGTAGTGGGGTCTTTCCACTGAGCAGCCAGTGAGGCACAACACTGGTCACCAGCAAAGGTGAGCGCACACTGGCTACCAGCATGGTACAGCACTGGGCACTCACTCTGCATTACAGGCATTAGAGGGAGAGGGAGAAAGAGAGGGAGAGAGAGAGAGAGAGAGCCATAGAGAGCAAGAGAAAGAGAGAGAGCGAGATAGAGAGAGAGGTGCATGAGGTCTGTGCTGAGGTTTGTGAGGTAGGGTATGAGGCAATTACTATTATAAACTTTTATTATATGTGGTGAAGAAACATCTAAGAAAGAGACATATTATGTAAGATTTAACCATGCAACATAGTTTCCTGAATTTCTCCTACGGGGATCAATAAAGTATCTATCTATTTAGTTGTTCCCTCATCAAAAACAGGGTTGTTTTAAGATCCATCCTCTGTCTGAAAGCGCTTGTCTCAGCCCTGTAATTGTATTATATAATTGACGTCACACTCAGAGCAGCTTTTTAAAACAAAAGTATTGCCCATAAGGTAAAAATGTGTTATTTATTTGCAGATAGCCTTGTTTACTTTTCATATGAGTTTCATCATATACTATCATCAGATATTACACATTCTAAAACATGAAATGACAAAGTAAATAGTCTCAGCGTAATTCTTAATGTCTAGAATAATGCATGATATTTCCTCTTTAAAAATATCATCGCTGTATCGAAATTGGTTTTGAGAATCGAGTTTTGTGTGCGAAAGTCTAGCGTTGCGTCTGCGCTTTGACAATGTGACTACAGCGAATACATTTGAACTTGTTTGTGTGTAAAATAAAAAAAGGTTCTCTAGTGGGTTGCGTTACATAATGAAGTATGGACGTGGTGCCTACCTCCTTCTGGTCCAGCTGGAGAGAGGACTTGATCAGATCTCTCAACGCTGTCAGCTGCTTCTTCTCCTCATCCTGAGTTTGTTTGATCTGAATACACACAAATTACAATGAATTATGTAATAAATAATAAATCTCGAGTATGTTAGAACTAAGAGTCGCGTCATTCCAAAGTTAGATGCAGACTTCCGGCTCAGTCTCGTCTCCCGGAGCTACGATTTTACACTAACAGCCAATTACTTTTGTTGTGACACTGCGCCAAGTGGTGACAAACAGATACTGTACTTACAACAACTCAGAGCTACAGTTAAAAACACACAAGGACACACACACACGGACACACACACACACACACGCACACACACACACACACACACACGTACACACAAACACACACACACACACACACACCACTTTCTCAACACGCTATGGACTAAAATCTTGCTTCAAAATGGCCACATCAATTCCTCAATAAGAAAATACTTAACATTGTCAGAAAGTAGCCAATAATAAAAGATATTGGACGAGAAGATGCAACCCCAAAAAAGAACATTTCATATTTTTCAAAGTGAACTGTGAGCCATGATCATCAAGAATCTAGGTTCAACTTTATCGTCTCCTCGGGGAAATCTGTCTTAAACTCACAGCTGCTGGACACAAACACACAAAACACTCACAAAGTTTGGAAAATCGGACTACATCGACATTAGAACAATATTTATTTGTGCTAAAAGTTTGCAGTTTTTCTAAATCAGCCTCGGCTATAAATGTTGTTTCACATGTTGACACTTGTGAAACAATTGAGGGATTGTATCGAATCTACTTGTGATTATTTGATGATTCTAACGCCTTGTGTGTTTTGTTAAGCGCTTTGATATGCCTTGTGTACATACTGTGCAATACAAATAAACTTGTCATTGGAAAACAGATGACACTTACATTATAGAGATCAGCTGCCAGTTTCTCTATGTACTGCTTCAGCTTATCTGCCGTCTTCAAGCCATCTTGGAAGAAACTGCGAAAACCAAAATCAGTGAAATGTTCTGGGGCTGGACTTTAGGCTGAATGTGTGGCTGGACTTGTGCACACTGGGGACATAGGGTTAGGGTTATTCCAATGTGGTTTTACTGCAAATGGCAAACTTAAAACCTGGCGCTGCTGTGTGGCTGTAAATCACCGGTAGCATTCTCTGTCTGTGATGGCTTTTCTGCTTCTTTCCTACACTTCAAACACAGCACTGAGCTACTGTGGAGGAAGTGGTTTTGAGGTGTAAAAGATCAGATCTAACACAATAATTTCGAGTGCAGTTAGCAAGTATAAAATAGCTTGATAATAATGATAATAATACTACAATTTATTTCAATTGTGCCTTTCTGTGCACTCAACTGCTTTGGTGTAGATCCCTTTATGATTGAATACTACTTTATTTTGTATTATCGGTTCTGTCTGCTTTCATTTCCTGTTTCGATGGCCTTCTACACCCCGATATATGTTTGTGTATTTATCCCCTGTCCCTCTCTCCTCTCATCAGTCCATTGTCTTTCCCCGTGTTACTAACTTTCTTTATCTTTTGTCTGATCAAAAGAACCTTCTAAGCCTTCAGAAGACCAAATTAACTTTTTACATTTATTTCCCCACGCTTGTTCCGGTTTTTAGTTTGAATGTTTGATTATTACCCAGCATTTATAAATCCCAAATGAATTGCAGACGTGCACATTTTGAGTCCCTCTTTCATTTTAAACCTTGACACTCAATTTCATATTTATACTCACATGTTATACCATTGTTAGCTACATTCAGAATGATTAATCTATTTGTTTTGTTTGTCTGGATGGATGTGTTTCTGCTGCTACTGGACACTCCTGGATTTCTCCTGCAGGGATCAAAAAAGTATCTATCTATCCATCAAGGTGACTTTACAAAAAGGGTCCAGAGTTAAAAGCAGCAAAAACAGTTAAAAGAATAGAGCTAAAAATGGGTCACAGTGAAATGGCCAGTCTGAGTAAATTGTATTTAAAGCCAGGGTACCTAACTTTCCCCCTTCCCACGAAAAATACAGTAAGAATGACAAACTTTCATTGAATATAGTTCGGCTTTTCTTTTTCTAAAGCCAGTTCAGCTCAGAGTGAATCATGACTGAAAGTGAGGTACCCCAGCTTTAAATACAATCGATTCCATCACATCCCAATCCTCCAGAGCAGAGAGAACACATTTGGAAAGAGGTATTTTGTTTTCCGTGTCATGACAAAACCTAGCGACACAAAAAAAATGAGGACTTGTCATTGTGTCGCGGGCCACTGTGAGCGAACACTTATTCAGGCACCAAAGCCCACAGCGGTCAGGACCTCGGCATATTCATGAGTCCTATATGGTCATGTGTAGTTCCAATACAACGTTCCAAAGGAGAGCATTCAAATAAAAGGACATGCAATAAGACTGGGGTGGTTACGTCTCTGCATGATTATGTGAATGCAGAAGAACCGGTTAAATACCCCTCAGTCCCACACGTCCATTCACTGATGTGAGTTTTCTGTGGCCAATGGCAGATATACACTTTCAAATGTTATTTTAAACCAGGGACAGGGCAAAGCTAAGGCAATTATTTTTGTGTAATTTCTGAGGAAGCTTGTCTTTTTTGGTCATTTTTTCTGAACCAAATGAGATTTTACAGTTTTGCTATGAATTAAACAGGACTGGACCAACAAAAAAGGTGGTTAAGTATTGTAGATTGATACACAGTTCTCATTTCAACTCATTTTGTTGCATGTTTCCTCTTTTTTTTCTTTAATAAGTGTAAAAAATTAAGTAAGAAAACCTTGTCATAAATGAATAGAATTTTTTTTATATCCCTGGTCATATGAGCGATAGAATTGAATGCCTCCTCCCACCCCAGAGTTTAGGGTAACAAATCTTGGGACATGTCCTGGGAGCATTATGGCCTGATATTACATAAAGAAATGAGCTCGATATATTTCGGTCGATCTCTAAAATGTACAGAAATGGTTGTGAATCGTACTATCTGTACAATTCTGCATATAATTGGATATTTTGTTTTCAATCATTTAAGCACCGTCTAGAAGCGGGTGGCGAGCGGGTGGTAGTTCCATAGCAACAGGAAGGAGACCCCTGTTTTAAGAGAATAAAAACAATGGAGTAGATTTAACAGTTTTAGCATTTAACAAAAAACATGTGAGTCCCAGAATGGCACCACTTAAAGCCGTCTTGAATGCTGTTTTGGAAGCTTGTAGTAAAGTTCACATCTGGAACAAGTGCATAAGTGCGGGAGAGACTTACTTGCACTGTGCGTGGTAATACTTGATGAGGTTCTGAAGGAGGTCCACTCCTTTCTTTGTCTTGATCTCGTTCACTTTGATCAGGTACTGCGGGCGGAACAGAGGGGCAAGAGAGCAAGTGTAAGCAGGCTTTTGCATGTAATGAGGCAAAACGTGACTCAAACTCTCCTCTCCTCCGTAGATATATAAATAAAAGAGTTTGGAGCTGCGTGAGCGCTTTTCTAAATGATATTCATGTCTTTGAAGTGGGAGCCAGGGCTGCCTGAACGTGGAGGAGCGCGCACAGATGGGGAAGCACACTGGAAATGCCTTGACGAGGAGAGAAAGTACGACCTCCTTGATCTGAATAAGATTTCAAAAGGAAAGAAGGAGACGGGTTCCACGCTGGCATCATGCAAAGGAACAGCTCCTGGCAGGGGAGCAGAGGAAAACATAAAGAGATCATTTTATCAACTCTTAAAGCTAATAACATGTGAGCTATACCGGTTTGGGAGGTTTGGGTTTAGAAAATATGTGTATTTATTTGTGGAACGGGAAATACAAGTATATACAGGTGAAACTTGGACAATTAGAATAAGTGAGATATATTAAGCATTTCTTGTTTATCTATTTATTATTGAGAATTGGCTCACGGCTTGTTAAAACTAGGGCTGCACAATATTGGAAATTGTGCGATATTCGATAAGAGTATTTAGTATCGCGATAACGATATCATTGCGATATTTTTGTCTTTCACCTAAAATTGCAATCTGCATTGAAACGCAAGAGACAAATAACAAAAAATAAGCACAACATTAATGACATTCAAATGCATATAATTATATACTTTTTTGTTTGTTTGTTTGTTTATTGTTCTGGTTGAATGAATGGTGTCTGTCTGTTTTTTATTTTTTATTTTTTTTATTGCGGATATTTTTGATATGGATATCACTCGCACAATATCGCGATAACAATATTTTTTGATATATTGAGCAGCCCTAGTGAAAACCTCATAGAATGAACGATGAACCACAATAACCCCATCTTATTTTTGTAATTTTCCAAGTTTCAACTGTACAGAAGGCTTATAACACATGTCATAGAGATGTATTGGGACAGAGGGATTTATTTATTGCAAACTAGCTTTAATCTAATAAAAATTAACTTTTAAAAAAACATTACAGAATTGCATAATGAAGTCAAGACTCTACAGCAGAAACAAAACCTGTACTTCCTTATACAGTAATTACAGAAAGTAAATTGTTCAGGCAACTTTTCTTTCTCTTTTAGATTATAGGGATATAATTTACAAACAAGAACAACAATTACAGAAACTGAAACTTATTCTAAACATTTTCCATCTAAAAAATCTAAGTACTTTTAGATATTTGGTAATTTGGTTTTCAAAGGTTAGACCTATTTTTGGACTTGTTTTTAACTGTCTATTATCATTGTACTTTTTGTTGTTTGACAGAGTTCATGAAAAAGAGTCCTTGAGCCTCTCCCTGTATAAATATAGATAAATAAAACTCGGAGGATCTGGTATTCCATAAAGACGTCCCGGTTGCCAAATAGGCGAATGAACGAAAAAGACAAAATGTTAAAATAGTCTCTTCTGAATAGACCCATAGACTTACAGAAAAATCCCAAATAGGCACAGACTATAAGAGAATAAGTCTAAATATGTCCCGACTGGTCTTTGTCTGAGCAGGGCCGGGAGATTATCCAGGTTTTTGTCTCTGGTGGAACGCTGCAGCAGCACGTTCACGTTTGTGCCTCTTTTGTGCGAGGAGCGGCAACATAAACAGGCGGCGGGAGAGGCCCACGCCGGACTCTAATCTGGCAACACGCAACACACAGAAATGAGGTTAAGTGGGATGAACAGACTGGACCACTGACGGCAACCGCTGCAACACTCCGGAGTCATCCTCAGACAGTGGAAAAATACAAAACCGTTATAATGGGGAATAATAACCTCTGTTTTGGTATTTTTCTTATAGTAGTGTTAAGTTCACTACATCAAGAATCAGCATCATTAAAGCAAGGGTAATAATAAATATCAATTCTTGCTCTCCAGGTATTATTTTTTCATACATTTTTAAGTTTGCTGTAGCAGAGAAGCTAATGTGTGAATGGAAAATGGTGTGAGATTAAAAAAGTTTGCTTCTTCCCACTCGCTTTCAGGCAAAACTGTTTTTTGATTTTGTTATAGGTATGTTTTTAATGATAATAGCAACTGTGATGCTCCTGTGTTAGCCTGAAATAAAAAAATAAAAATAAAAAAAATGAACATGTGTTGTGAGCTGACCAAATCTGACCAAAGCAGGCCATCTCTTTAGCTGTGAGCTGATTGGCTGAGTAAGGGTGGTCCTCTCTTTTCACTTTTCAGTCATAAAACCTGATCTAAAGTTGTGACAGAGGCCAGAAATAAGTGTATGTGAAAACTATTGACAGAAAGAAATTATTTACGGAGTCATGAACCAGTTTTGTTGTGTCATGAAAGTTAGATACCTTAGCTTTAACATGTCTTTGCAAGCACTAGCCCTATTTTAATCTGGAAGATATAACAGCAAGCTTTATGTTGTGAATGAATCAGATCACAACCCACAGTCTTCTTTCTGGACCTATACTTGTTAGAAAGAGCCCTGTTCGTCCCTATTTGACTAACAGGGCTTTGACTATTTGGGTTGAGATCTGATTGGCTGAGTGAGGGTGGTCCTCTCTTTCACTTTTCAGTCTGTGAAATCGAAGCCAGAAACTACATGATGGATTTCATGACATTACAAAATGAGGTAGTAAAAATGAGCTTTAAGTATCTATGTATATGTATCTTCCCCTGTTAAAAAAAAAAGACAGAACTGAAACAGATGTGTGTATTTAATGCAACATAAAATCCATTGTTAGCATAGCAACACACTTTAAATTTGATAGCAGTGTGACTCAACGCATCACTCAATAAAGCAGCAGCTGTGAGCTCTTGTATACGCGTTCAAATCTCATTATTTTTGGCCTGGGCTCGGGACGCTCATGGCTTCTATCATCCATACAGCGGGTCATTGGAGATGTCATAACGTTGGGTTTTTAATGCGGTTCCAGCCCGACCACAAATGCATCCTTTACACGTAACTGGGAGCCTGGTTTAGTTACAAAACCACAATGCCCTTTTTGTCCGGATACTTCACTGGGAGATAGAAACAGCGATGCCATCCCAACAAAGGGGACTCACAACGCACGAGAGAAAGAGTTTTTAAGCCTGTTACGATTACGAAAATAAATATTCTCGTCCAATCAAGACCGGATTATCCACCGTTCAATGAAACAGGTACGAGGATGGAACAAATGTAGTGGTGAATATTCCATGTTAGTACTAGGCATCGGCCCATTATGTAATTGGAGCGTTCGCAATCCAAGCGGGATAAAGTGTGGACATGTGGAGGCGGCACCACCCACCACCAGAGAGGTTTTTTGGCAACGCAGAGTAAGAACTAACAGTTTGTGCAGAATCTTTAGACCACGAGAAAGTACAGAAGTGCTCTTTTACACATGATTATGAATATTGAGAATCACTACTTTCAGGTTCAATATATGAATCCAAGCCCCCTGTGCAGTAGTTTTATAGGCAAAAGTAAAAAAAAAAAAACAGTGAGAGAAGAGCATGCATCGCCCACGCACTGCCGCGAGTCCCACAGTGTAGAATTTATTGAAATAATATGGTAACAGCTCAAATATAGGATGAGATGTGTTCACCGTATACATTACACAGTGGGCTGCATAAGTATCCACTCTGCTTCTACTTCTTCACATTTTGCCTTGCTAGAACCACAAACATAGAAATGTCTAATGGAAATGTCATGTCAGATACACACACTAAAGAAACACACAATCATGAAGTGAATTTAATCATGATTTTTTACTTTTTATGGATAAAAACTGAGATTTGACCACACACGGAGTGACTCTATTTAGACATTAGGTCAACGTGAGCATTCAGGAATCATCAGGTGACTTCTGAAGGATATTGGAGAGAGGGTAGATACTCTTGAACACCCAACATTTCAGTTTTTTATCCATAAAAAAGTTTGCAATCCTGTATATAAACCATTTCACTTCATGTACGGTATGTTTGGATTGAATTAGTCTTAACTATTTCTTTCTTTCTTTTCTTGGACAAACAATGGGGACAGAGAACAAGAACTTGACAAACGACAAGAAGTTTCGCTCGTCATTCACAAAAATAAACACGATTTTCTTTGTCTTTGATTTAAATATATTAAAGTTGGTTGTCCTTGGAGGCAAAACGTCAAAGAGGCGAAGGGTGTGGATACTTATGCAGCCCGGCGTATGTTTAGATGTTCTAGTTATTGTTCACAAAATAGATTATAATCCTTCAAGACATTTGCGGGGGAAAGATTCCAGACGACTTTCCAGTGAGTAAACGTTGCAGTAGTAAATATAAAGACGAGAGATTAAGACTTGTTGCAAAACGCCTTCGACCCGAAGCTTTCTCAATGGTTCATGTGCGCAATAATGACTGAACACTGAGATTAAGATGAGTCACTCAAATTAAGCTTTGTTCAGAGTTTTCAAAAGCTTTTGGCGATAGAATAAGTCATTCACATCTTTGGAGACTGAGGCTAAATTAGGGGTTAAGATTAAGATTTAGAGATTCTGTATTTGTCTCATAGTAGGGACATTTCCAAAAGAAATTCAAGCCCCAGCACAGTGATCATAATAATAACAAAAACTAAGAAAAATTACGCATTATTTTGTCCTTTAAACAGGATTATGAGACAATTTAATTCGTCATTTCATGTTTTAGAGTGTGAAATAACATAAGTATAAGATATAGGGGGAAACAAGTATGAAGGATAAATAATGCTATTGGCCTGCAACTCCCTATGCTACCACTAGAGGGAGGGGTTAAATATTTGTTGTATCAAAATTGTTTCAAAATGACCAGCTTCAAACACAGCCGTGTGATTGCCATAGACTGTAAATATTAATGGACGTAGTAACGGCCATCTCTGCACGAGCCGGCTGACGTTTATTTATTAACAAGAGCCCTCAAAAGTCCACAGCGACTAAACTAGACCGGTCCAAAACAAGTC